ACAGTGCCATCCTTTAGGATGTATCTCCGATAGTTGTTGGTCTTAATAACCTGATCCTGTATTGCACAGACAAAACCCTCGGTTTCCCCCGAAGAGGTCACCGAAACGTAGCCAGTTGAGGGAGGCGGCTGTATCTACGTGAGGCTCATGTAGAGCCCTGTAGTACCTCCCGTGGAGCTCCTTCTCCTTCCATACGGTCTCCCGATCGGAAATGCTCTGTACTGCCGGGTCTTGCCATTGCTCGTTGGCTAAGGATAGAGGGGTAAGTCCTTTATCACTAGAAATGACGTCATTATAGAATGGATCATCCGATCTCGCCAGGAAGTAATGACGGAGGCTGCACACTTCGCGATTATGCATGGTGAGCGCGCTCAGGAAGCCACGCCCACCATGCTTTCGTGGCAAGTACAGCCTTATTACCGACGATCTCGGATGATGCATCCTATGGGACGCCATTGTAGTGCGGACTTTTCTATCCAGGGCGTTAAGTTCAGTCTGATTCCACCTGAGTTCTAAAAGTATACATGAGGACAGGCATGACCCAACCGTTATATGCACGTGTCTTATTCACACCGGACAAAAGGCTGTTAAGCACTTTGGTCAAGCGTGCATAAAACGCATCTATTATTTTTAATAGTAGTATCAAATCTGGTGTGTTTCCTGATTTAATGAAGCATAGTAAAGTAATACCTTTATTTAAATCTGGTAGTACATTGGACCCCGCTAATTTTAGACCTATTTCTGTACTGCCAACACTTAGTAAAATTTTTGAAAAAATTATTCTTGATCAATTGTTAATTTTTTTTAATGTAAATAAATTACTTCATAAAAATCAATTTGGTTTCACAAGGGGTCGCTCGACAACTGATGCTGGTGTTGAGCTGATTAAATATATATTTAATGCATTGGAGAATTCACAGGATGCTTTGGGTGTGTTCTGTGACCTATCCAAAGCCTTCGATTGTGTTCACCATGAAACTTTAATCAGGAAAATTCAACACTACGGTGTAAGAAATGATGTTCTTAAATTAATTATTTCATATTTAAGTGACAGAACACAAAAAGTTGTTATTAATAGTATTAGTTCTTCCGGGTCGATTGTACAAATGGGCGTGCCTCAGGGCTCAATTCTCGGCCCCTTTCTGTTTCTTGTATATATTAATGACTTACCTTACATAGTAGGGGATAACCATGATATAGTATTATTTGCTGATGATACTTCATTAATTTTCAAATTAAAACGACAGTTATTAAATTACGACGAAGTAAATAATGCTATAGCTAAGTTAGTCAATTGGTTTAATGTTAATAATTTGCATTTGAATGGAACTAAAACTAAATGTATGAAATTCGTAACTCCTAATGTTTAAACATGTCAATACTAATGTAATTTTAAATTGGGAGGAACTGAGTCTTGTTGATACCACCATTTTTCTTGGAATCACACTTGGAAGCACACAAAGCTTCAATGGCTCCCCCATATATCAAAACTAGCTAGCAGACTTAGTTCTGCCGCATATGCTGTAAAAAAGATTAGAACTCTTACCAGTGTTGAAACAGCTAGAATAGTTTACTTTAGTTATTTCCATAGCATTATGTCGTATGGTATTTTGCTATGGGGACACGCGACTAACACTGAAATTATATTTATTTTTCAGAAGAGGGCCATTAGAGCAATATATAATTTAAAACCAAAAGAGTCACTGAGACACAAATTTAAGGAAATTAATATATTAACTCTGGCCTCTCAATACATTTATGAAAATGTAATGTACGTACACAAAAATAAAAGTAGTTTTACGAAAATAAGTGATATTCATTCTGTAAATACTAGGAGCAGACACTAGCTGGTAGTACCAGTTACTCAACTCCACCGAATCAGTAATTCATTCTTGGGGCGATGTATACGCTTTTACAACAAAATCCCAGAAAATATACAAAATTTGTCATACACAAAGTTCAAAAATGTTATTAAACTAAGTTTGTATAAAAAGGGTTATTATAATATTAACGAATTTATAGATGATAATAACCCCTGGGAAGGGTGATCGCTACCAAGCTATTTCTAATTTGTCTTGTGTTGTTGATTGTAAACATGATTGTAAGCTATTATTAAAAAAAATAGTCCCGCTGGGTTTCTTGCTGGTTCTTCCCAGGACAGAGGTTTTTTTTGCGAACCAGTGGTAAATTAAAAAAGTGACAAGTATTTTTATAATCTACATTGAATAAAAAAGTTTCTATTTCTATTTCTATTGCAGAAGAATTTAAGAACACTCATCCCGAAGCAGTGAAAGCAGTTAAAAGAAACCATTACATGGACGACTATCTACAGAGCTTCGCGTCTACAACTGCAGCAAAGAAGATATCCGAAGAAGTGAAAGATATTCACGCAAGAGCAAACTTTCATCTGAAGGGTTGGGCCAGTAACAATTCAGGGGTACTATCAGAAGTAGAAGACACCAATAAAGAGAACTCCTTGCAACTGACAAAGGAAGAAAAGACTCTGGGGCTAAGATGGCTAGTAAAAGAAGATGCATTAGCTTTCAACGTCGGGCTACGCAACACGTCGGAGGATCTGCAAGATGGCAGAAGAACACCAACAAAGAGAGAAGTCACAAGTGCAGTGATGTCCACCTTCGATCCAATGGGTTTTGCAACACCGGTCCTAATACAAGGAAAGAAACTAATCCAAGATATCTGGAGAAAGAAAATAGACTGGGATGAACCAATCAACGAACAACAAAGGGAAGCCTGGATGAAATACTTAGAAGAAGTATCAACATTAGCAAGGCTGAAGATCCCAAGATGCGTCTTACCCAAAGGCAGAAAAGGACAGCTACATACGTTCACCGGCGCGAGCGAGGAAGCCTACGCAGCAGTAGTCTACTGGAGAATAGTCGAGCCCGGAGGAAAAGTCCATGTCTCCATGATCGCCGGCAAAGCAAGGGTAACACCGACGAAACCAGTATCAGTTCCAAGGCTAGAACTACAAGCGGCTCTACTCGGAAGCAGACTAGCCGCCACAATTGAAGAAGAGTCAGAGCTCGAAATATCGAAAAAGATTTACTTGACCGATTCCAGCCCAATACTGCAGTGGATAAAGTCGGAACCAAGAAAATTCAAAACATTCGTGGCCAACCGACTTGCAGAGATTGAAGAGAAGTCTAAGCCAGAAGACTGGAGATGGGTACCAACTAAAGAGAACCCAGGAGACGACGCCACGAGGGGAACCCCAATCGAATTCGACCACAACGCCAGATGGTTCAAAGGCCCGTCATTTCGCCGTCAACCAGAAGAAAAATGGCCGTTTCACGACATCAAACCAGAGAGAAGAAAAGCTCAAATAACAACAATGTTGGCAAAAATGGCAGCAGAAGACATCCTTTTGAATCCCGAAAGATTCTCGAGCTGGGAGCGACTGCTGCGCACTACAGACAGAGTGGTTGCCTTTGCACACTACCTATTAAAGAAGAGCCGTAAAGTGACCACCACCGCCACGCGCCAGAACGATGAGCCTTGGAAACCACAACAGAAAATCCAGAAGAAAGAAGCACACGCCTCAAACCCATCAGCCAACAAAAATGAAAATAAGCGGCTATATCTACCCCTAGAAGAAGAACACTTAAAGAAGAATATACATACAGAATATACATTTTCGATAATAAAAATCGCAGTTTCCCTAGAACAAAATATATTATAAATATTACACATTCTAATAAATATTCATTCTTTCACAGAAATCCGTCAAAAGTCCAACATTATCAAATCGTATAGTTACTAGAGTAGAAAGCGATAAAATCCATTTTAACATCCTCTCGCTGGAGCTCGTTTTTACGTCTCAGTACACAACCAAGCCTCAGTATGCAATATCTTTGGGAGAGCAATAGAACCGGAGACCCTTTTTAGTAGAATCGAGGCATTCCATCTTAGTCTTCAGGGGTGACAACGCATTTGTATTTTGTTTCTTAATTGAGGATAAATGTGGATGGATGAAAATGGGCCACAGCATCCACACACAATCAGGTGGACTGTGTGCTCCTTTGTCACGCAAAGCAATTTTTTTTTATTTATATATCACCTGTTAAACGTCACGTGTATAAATAGTTCAGCTATAAGAATTTTGTTCTTATTTTAGGACTCTCTTTGCCAGTAATTATTTTGATCACAAAGAATGTTGTGACTTGTCATCCGGACCATGCTATAACGCAAAGTCTTATTAGTTTGCTTATAATTAAATGCGAATTTAGGCGTGGATACAAGTTAGTTATCACATTTCAAGTGAAGGTAAGTGTGGACAATTATTTTGATTTTGAGCTTTTTCAAAGTATGCTTAATAAAATAACCTTAGTGTAAGTTTTATAGTTTTATTATAAGCAGATTTTCATTTTAGTTGTCTCAGATTCTGGGAAAATAAACTGTTAATACTGTATAGCTTGTCGCATTCAATATTTCTCTTAATACATACTTAGTCTATGGCCGAATTCTATACTCATTGCATTTATAGCACCCTCTTGCTCTGACCTCTTATATAATAGTATACGAAGTCAGAGAAACCTACTGTCTACGATAGTATAAGTTATCATTGTGTGTGTATCTTGCTACCACAGAGTACCTTTGTATGCTTTGTTTAAACTTGCTACATATCTATTTATCTATGGTGTGTTACGTCAGTTTCTCTATCTAGTCTGTGGTGTGTTCATATCGTAGCGGTAACGTGAAATTTATCGTTTTATTTAGTGAGTGTTCGCTTTTCTAAAAATAGTTTTATTTCAGCAAATATATTGTTGTGTTTGAATTCATTAAAATAATTTTGCTTTTTGCATCATTAAAATAAATCCTGGACAATCTTCCAATTGCCGAGAGTCGTATTGGTACTGACATCTTAACCTGAAGACGCCATGTTTGTCACGTTTTTGCCAGTTGTGAATTTAAACTGAAAATTTGATTTGGAACAGCGTCATTGCATATTGTTGACCACAGTGCTGTTATTTTTTGCAAATATGAACAAAGGAACACTGAACAATAATAAGAAACGTTCACATTCACATGAGGAGGCACATAATGTAAGTTTTGACTGAATTCCCGCTTTTGATATATTTTTGGATTACTGTACTCACGCAGAGTTATTTCATCGACAGTGCTGCTTTGCGATATGATTTATTGAGTTGTTAATTGTTTATATTTTCCTATGTAGTAATAGAATTTATTGGCTTTATGTTTGTCGTGCATGTTTCTTGTGGCAGTCCCTGGTAAACGAATATTGGTGATTAAAAAGAAATTACATGTTATAATTAACTGTGTTAGCTGTAAAATATTTCAAAAGCTGAGATTAAATTAACTATTGTGTCCTTAACAGATTTCTTTATATCTATTTTTGATTGCTGGCGTGTAAGAATTATAGATATATCTGTAAAAATGTTCCTTTTCAACCAAAAAACACTTTTTCCTAACAAACTTTCATGAGCACTTTTATAATTATTATCAAACTTTTACTTAATATTGTGCATAATATGATTTACAATATTAAAGGATACTCAACCTCCATAAATCACTGGCACAGATGTAGGTAGTTCTTTTCTAATAAAATAGTAAGTGTCATGATTATTCATATTTCATAATTATAGCTCTTCACAAGTTCTCTGTTGAAAATGGGGTTGCAATAATTTGTTTTTATGTAAGATTATTTCAAAAAAAATTATTCGTTTTAATAGATTTCCTGGAAATTTCTGAACTAATTTAAATAATTCTTCTATTATTAAATATATTATAAATTGTATAGAAGATAAAATTGCACACCTAGTGTAGAAAGAGGCGATGAATTTTGTAATTTAACTAGACATTCTAGTTATTACCTTATAGTTATGATATTCCTAAGTTCACTCATTGGTGTAGTAAAATTAAATTTTCACATTAAGTAAAAACCAACTTGACAATTAAAATTATGGTAATTTTATACTATCGCAGTCCCCTCGTTTTTGGTTCTAGAAAATCTAAAAATCATCCAATTTCTATGTTTTTTTAAATCTTCATTTTTACGGCGAATTTACAAAAAATTACAGGAATAAAAAAAGTGATAACATATATCGGTGTCAGGGCTTTAAATGTTCATGAATTATACTCATTAATGTGTAATTGTTGATAACGTTTTTACAAATAATCAAATGAAGTAGTTGTTATATGGAGAGAGTTGGGAGAGGGAAGCTCCAAGCCACTCAACATAGCGCAGTCGAAGGAAGCCTGGTCGATGGCGCCCTGCTTGGGTTATAAAAAAATAACCACGGAGATGGCAGAATCTATTTGCCTGCTTTGCTCGCTCACTCGACCCCGGCATCTCTTAACCTGTCCGAGTCAGGACGCCCTAAGTCCTGAGTTCTCTTTGCTAAAAAATTTATAAATAAACATTATTATATGATGTATTTTATAAAAAAATGTTTTTTTTTAAATGTTTGCTTTTTTGTGTAGATTAACAAAAAAAAAATATAAACTTTGTTTAACAGCTTCGCTGCCAACTGGAATATGGTGACGTCATGGGAAAATCCGTTGTTTTTTTTTGTAAAATATGCATGAAGGACGTTTCAATATTGTTATTTTGGAAATATTTAACTAATTTTAGAAGGTTTTGGTAAGAAAATGCTAAATAAAAAAAATCCGAGAATTTGCGGACCTGGCACTAAGATTGACATTTTAACCCAAGTCCGCAATTTTGCTGAGTAGTTTCTTTTATGTATTATGGTTTATTTAACCCTTAAACCCTACCCGGGGGTCCAGCAAACCCCAGAGGTTGAATATTTGTAGATATTTTTGCAATAACGAAACGCACTATTGTGCCACTCGAGCTAATCTTTAATTACGTCGTCGGCCATCTTTTCACTAGTCTAGCGTCAACGCTTACACAGTTTAGACGGAATTATAGCTATTTATGGGTCTGTCAGACCCCAGGGTAGTAATAACGTAGTATTTTGTCATTTCTTTTTTGTCGATACATTGGTGAATGCAGTTTTTTTTGATACAATATTTTAAAGGGTAAGTTTAATATTTGATGTATTTATTACAATAACAATAGTGTTTTTTTCTTTAGGAACGTATATGAACAAATCTAACAATTTTGTTGTTTCGTTTTAACAGTTTATTCAATATTGTGTTTTATGTCATTGTTTTAGTTTTAACGATCAAAATTGCGTAAGATGGACCTACAGATCACTCAGTGGTTGCATGAAGACCAATCAGAAGATGAAGAGGCATGTGAAGTCGCTGTTCCTGACCTTGAAAATGATGTTGACGAAGACGGAATTATTGAAGACTTTCGAGCAGAACATCCAGATGATGATACAGAAAATTCTTCATCGGAAGATGACACTCCTCTGAGTAATTACAGTTCAGGTAATTTTCTTCGTGTCTTACCTGTCCCTAATAATCTGAAGGGCAAGGACGGGTTTAGGTGGACAGGTGAAAAACCAGCAAAGTCTAGAGTGCCACGAAGAAATATCTTGTTTCATCCTCCTGGACCTAAAGCTGCAGCTCGTGAAGTAAAAACGGAGCTGGAAGCATGGAGTATTTTTTTTCTGATGAAAAGCTTGAAGAAATTGTAAGAAATACAAATGCTGAAATTGGTAAACAGAGAGAAAAATATAAACGAGACAGACCTGTACAGAATACGGAAGACGAAAACGCGGACGCATCGAGTTCCACAAAAATACGTCCTTCTTTTGCTAAGGATGCAAATGTGGTGGAAATGAAGGCTTTATTTGGACTTTACTACTTAGCAGGGGTACTCAACATGAATCACGTCACCACCAAGGAATTGTTTGACAAGAACTCAGGTGTTGGCTATTTTCGTGCCACCATGAGCCAAGCCAGATTTGAGTTTCTGACAAACTGTCTGCGTTTTGACGACCGGTCTACCAGAGAAGAACGACAGCAAAATGATAGATTAGCACCAATTAGAAACATTTTTGATCACATTGTCAAAGTTTCGAGTGAAGTATATAGCCCTTCAGATTGCTGTACATTAGACGAAATGTTATTGGGCTTTAGAGGTAGATGTATCTTCAAAATGTACATTCCGAGTAAACCAGATAAATATGGTATAAAAATTTTGATGACTTGCGATGCTAAAACTGCCTATATGTTAGATGCTTTTGTATATTTGGGCAAAGGTTCGTGCCCTACAAATGTACCAGCTGCTCATTTCTTTACTTTGAAATTGACTGAAACAATTCATGGCACAAACCGCAACCTCACTTGTGATAATTGGTTCACGTCAATACCGACAGCAAAAGAATTGTTACAAAAGCAGGTGACCCTTGTAGGTACACTACGTAGAAACAAGAGAGAAATTCCACCTTCTTTTCTTGAGCTAAAAGATCGCGATCGCAACACGGCAAAGTTTGCCTTTACAGGAGAACTTACGCTTTTGTCTTACTGCCCCCCAAAATCCAAAAACAAAAAAAAAATTGTCCCCATGTTGTCAACTATGCATGCAACAGCAGATCCTGATGCAACGATTCAAGTACCAGAGATGATAGAGTTTTATAATAAGACTAAATGCGGAGTCGATTTGATGGATCAGCTATGCCACAAGTACAGCGTGTCTAGGAGATCAAAAAGGTGGCCAATGGCAATTTTTTTTTGGCCTTCTGAATATAGTAGGTGTTAATTCATATGTCCTGCTAAAAATGGCCACAAAAAAGAGTTACAAAAAGACGTCATTTCTTGAAAAAACTTGCCATAGATCTGATCACCCCTCAAATGGAAGAACGATTAACATGGCCCTCTTTGCCCATGAATCTTCAAGTTCTCTTAGGTGGAATCTTGCAAAAGAAGCGGCCATTGCAAGAACCAAGTTCTGTTCCCACTGCTAAAAAAAAGATGTGCTATGTGCCCAAGGGGTAAGGATCGAAAAACCAAGGTCACCTGTGGCATGTGCCAAAAACCTCTTTGCGGTGAACATACTGAGGCTATGTGCCAAGAATGTGTTACCAAAAACCATTAACAATTTTTTTTGTATTGTCTAATAAGCAGATTATTATAATAAATAATAATTGTAATTAAATTGTTTTTTATTTTTTAAGTATGAATTTTTATATAGTGGGGTCCTTAAAACCCCTGGGTAGCAATAGTGTTTCTCCTAGAATGGGTAGGGTTTAAGGGTTAAAATTATCTATGGTATTTAAACACAAAGAAAATAGTAGTTTGCTTAAATTCTAATACATTTGGCAAATGTAGCAGTGCCGGGCGCGTACTAATTCGTAGTAACCAAGCGGCGCTACTCCGCATTTTAGCGGGGCCGGCACCCCGCGCTCACCCCGCACTCCGCTAATTCGCGGAGCTGGCAGCGAAGTTGTTAATGCTTTGCAAAAAAGTTATGAATGATTATATTCAAAGAAGTGCATTTGTGATCACATTTAAAGTCATAAAACTATAATATGAAATCTTCAGGTGAGATATTTTCCATATTTTTTTTTCATAAATCTGCCATAAAAATGAAGGTTAATAAAAAATTCATCAAAATCGGATGATTTTTCGATTTTCTGGAGCCAAAAAACGAGGGGACCACAAAACTAAAATTGCCAAAAGTATTAAATAATTCCCACATAATAACTTAAGTTGGGGCTTTAATTGTTTACTATACTATGTCTTAGCAGATACATTGTAATTAAGTATCAGAAATAATGTTTAAAGTAAAAGTTAAAGTAAAGTTACAGCCTATATACGTCCCACTGCTGGGCTCAGGCCTCCCCTCATTTCTGAGAGGGTTTAGGGCAAGGAAGTGTCCGCCGTGCTGTCCAAATGCGTGTTGACGAACTTCACATGTCTTCGAAATATTTTTTTTTCTTATTCCTCAGACATGCAGGTTTCCTCACGATGTTTTTCTTCACCGCCGAGCACGTGGTAAATCAGCACTTAAAATTGCAATTAACAATTTCATTGGTGCCGGCGGGGATCGAACCCGGGTTACTCGCATTCTGTTATATTTACAGCGAGCGTTAACCACTGAGCTACCACGGCTCTTAAAAAAAAAATAATGTTTGCTTTAAGTAAATAATGAAAATAAACAAAATAT